CTTTTCTTTTAATTTCCACATCTTTTCATAGAAATTTATTTCAATATCTATAGTTATTAATCATAAACGTGTAATTCAAAAAGCATTCTTCTTGAAAAGTAATGGGCATGACTAACATGTTGGTATGTCGGTAACCAAACTTGTCAGCTGTCAGAATGATTTCACGGATATATATTTACGTACTTACTTACATATGTCTTATTATGGTTCATGGGACATTTCATATGAAATCTTTACCATTACGTGTTTCTTTATTATCTAAAAGGTACAATGACAAATTTCATTTGTAATAAATTATGATCAACGTTAATGGGTGTAATAATGAAACATGTAGATATGTTAACAATAGTATTAAATATTTACTTACCTTTTACAATAAAATAAAAATGTATTGAGATATGGAATCGCAGAATATAAATTATGACGCATCATTTTTAAAAGTCGTTCGTATTACGCGCATGTTAGCACGTAGCAACAGCATGCGCAGGGGAATTAACAGTGAGAATTAACGGCTAGAAATCCAATTATAAGTTTAAAAATTTAGAAATGATTTCAAAATATACAAGTACTTTATATTTTGATGATAATATTTATACGTGTAATAATAAAATTATTGGTATTGGTTTTAAACATAGTTTTTTAATATCTTACGAGGTATTAAATTAATTTAAAAAATCGATTTCAAATTATTTCATTTAAATTATTAGTGTCTTTAATCAATTCGAGATTAATAAGTTATTATAAAGTTAATCCTTTTGCTTTTTATGATCAATGGCTATAGTTATATCCTCCTTATCGTCAAGTTTTCTTCTTCAAAGAAATTAAGAGAGATAGTTTTTATTTGAACACGAGAATTAAATAAAAAAAAAAAAAAAAAAAAAATGTAAATGTCGTTTTAACAAATATTTTAAATTTACCTCACGATTGTACAATATTAAAATTTCATAAATACGTACAAGATAAAATGTAAAATATAATTTAAATCAAATCACTCATACGCATATACGATACACAATTTGAAAACAATTTGTCTTTATACTCATCTCGTGGTTTCTGAAGATGTTACGCCAATGGGAATGCTTTTTATCTCAGTTTCCAACAAGATGGGACTCCCCATTGGTGCGGCTTGAAACAGCCCCGCGTACAGTGGGGCCAACATTATAGTACAAAATAATAATTCATAAATTATACGCGCCACGACCGTTTAGAGGCTTAGGTATACAGCTCACTGCACATGCAGGTGATTTTGGTGCAGGTATATCAATAAGCCTCGCTAGCTATGTAACTATCATATAGGGTGATTTAAAATTAATTTCATTATTTTTTCATACTTTTTCACGTAAACGTATATTAAAAATCATTTTGATTTCATAGTTAGTAATTCAGAATGCCAATATTCGAAGATTGTAATCTTTTAATTATATAAAATTTAATGTAAAAGAAAAAGAAAGTATTTTTTAAATTTTAATAATAATAAAATAAAATTGTTACAATATTTTAATATTGTAATATGAATATATACAATGTATGTAAATGTATAAGTAATAAAATTTGAAAAGTACTTATTTAAATAATTTGATAATTTACATTATAATTAACTTGTTATTTTATAAAATCGATATATAATAAAAATAAAATATAATTTTTTAAGAAAATAATTTTAAACGTTTAATTTAAAAATTCACATATAGTATCTGGCGGCACTGTTTTAATTTATATTCATATCATATTGGTCTTGTGCTTTCACTTTTCACTTTTCAAATATATCTTGTAAATATATATAATCAACATATTATTATAACTATATATATGTTATAATTCTCTTATGCTTCGAGAGTTTATTGAATATATCGAGAGATATTGAAACTTTGAAACAAAAATGATGAAAATGTGTTCAATTAATATCTTGTGCTTCCGTTTCTGATTATGTATCGAGAGCAAGAATAGATAAGGAAAGTCAATAATGAAAGAAGGATAAAGATAGAGTAAAAATTAGAGAATTACCGCCATCTGTAGAGTGTCGTAAATAAAATTTATATATAGACAAGTAGAACAAATAATAGAAGGAAGATAGAGATAGAATAAGAATTGATTATGAAAGCCATCTCTTGAGTACTAAAAAAAAGAACTTTTTAAAAATACTCAAGAGATGATACTTGTTATCAATTGTTCTACTTTATCTTTTGATGAAACATATCCGATATTCAAGAGATGGCGCTGATTTTTAATTTCTACTCTACCTTATCTTCAAAGAAATATCTTTTACCTTCAAAAAAATAGTCATAATTTTTAATTTTTATTCTATTTTCTATTGTTGAAAAGATGTCTTTAATACTCAAAAGATGGTACTGATAATCATATCCTATACTATTTCTATCTTTCTCTTATCTCTCATTTGCTCTATCTAAACTTGCTCTGCAAAATTTACGCGCTCAAGAAAACGGTTTCTGTATATAATTATATCGTACTTTGTGTCTAATCTAATTTTGAAAGTTAATCTTATTTATCTTCTAGTTTAAAAAAAAAATTCAAAATAAATTAGAAATATATATTTTATATTTCATACAATATATATCGCATAACATCGTAAAATATTATTTATTATTGGTAAATGTAATTTAATATTTTGAGGTTACGTTCTACAAGAATATTGATTTAAGCCAACAAGTTTTAAGATTATAACAAAAGTACTGAATAACAATTGAACGATAGTCTGAAGAAAATATGGAAAATCAATCAGAAGAAATGGTAAAAAGCAAATGCGGTTTGAAATTTCATGAATTTATGACAGAAGTTGGTGACTTGTTAATTGTTTGTCATATGATAAAAATGGAAGATTCTCTTTATGTGTGGGTGGGTAATTATAATGAAAATGCTATGAATGATTTATCTTTTGCAATTAAATCACCGTATGAAAAGGAACCACTTGCAACAAAGATAATGGGATCAATTGTCAATGATTGTTCGAGTAATCTTGCTAAAAGACTTTCAAAAAAACTTTCAATGCCTGTTTATATCAGTTTTAATGTTCAGGTTGATAATTTTTCTTTACTTACTATTGAAAGAAGACTACATAATGAACTTATTTCACATCCCGAGATTTTTTAATCTAATGTTATAAATTTTACTTAGATTTTTTTGTTTTATATGTTATTATTTCTAATAATAATCAATTATGTTATATAAATCTACACTAAGCATAATATTTTTATATAAAATGTAATTTCAATTTATATATTTTGTATTGCAACATGTAAAAAAATTTTTGTTTATTTGTTTCAAGAAATTTAAAATTTTGTAAATAAAATTATTTTCTATAAATTTAATTTTGAATTGATAATGTAAATGGATATACAAATAATAAATAAAAAATTATGCGTATAATAAAATGATTACTTTATTTAAAAATTTTGATGTTATTAGAACATGTATATTTCGAATTTGTATAAAAAAAGTTGAATGATGGCATAATTTTCCTTTTTTTTAAAAATATGTAAAATATGTAATATAAATTCATTTATTTTTCTTTTTTAATAAAATCGTATTTTTAATGCAAATATTAATTGATTTTACTTTTATTAGCCAACTTGTCAAATCGATATAGTATCTAGTACAAAAATACTCTAGAGATTTTTAGCGCAATAAGTATTGTAATCTTTAAGAACTAACTTCAGTTCGTGCCGTCAAAAACACGTGGTTATTTACTCATTGATTTCAATATTTATCCAGAATTGCACATGTGATTTAATTTTATATTTTCAAAGATGTTTTTACAAAGTTTGACAACTTTTATTAAAAAAAAGAAAAATTATGCTGAAAAATTTGCATCTTTTGAGATTAATAAAGTAAGCATGAAAATTTTTTTTTAAATATTTTAAATATATTCTTTTAGTTTGTAAACATCGTATTAACATTTTCTTTATTTTTATTTTTTTCTTCTGTTACTATTTGTTTTTTATTTTATAAATTTTATTTAGATTTTTTTTTTATATATTATTATTTCTAATAATAAGTTTTTTTAATATTATTTTTATTTAATTATAACATATTAAAAGAAAATCTTTAATTCCACATATCTTTAATTTTCACATGTATAATATCTTTTTGATGAATTTAATGAAAATTATTATGTTTAATGAATGAGTATAATATATAAATTACATATGAAAATTTATAAAAAAATAGAAAATTTCCTTTATTTTATTTATATTATTTATTATTTAGATTTATATATTTAACTATATACATTGAAATAATTTATTGAACAATATAACATTTTCAAAAATGTATTGTATTAGCTTCTACATTATCTTTATTAATTTAAAATTGTTATACATAATATGATGTAATTATATTATAGGAACCAAACAAAGATGAATACAAAAGAATTTTAGATATTTTGTGTGAACTCTTAATGAATCCAAAATCTACAGAAGATGTTGCTGAATGTTTTCCACAATTATTGCCTATATTAATTTCTACAAGTATTTCAATGGAAAAAATTTCTTTTGATGATGGAGATTCACTTCATAAATTAAATTCTGTCATTTTAGGAAAATTACTTTGCAAAAATCAAGATCTGTTAATGTATGTATATTTTTATAATTCTATTGTAATATTTTATATTTTATATTTATATTTTTCTATTGTATAATGTATTTTTTTATATTAATATGCGAAATTATTATCATTAGTAATCTTCTCATATTTTTAAGTAAGTTTATTTTATATGAAATAGTATTTTATTTAACATTATAATTTTTCTGTGTTCCACAATATTTTAGGTTGAATATTGAAGAATATTGGAGAAATTCATACAAGGATGCAAATAATAATTTTCCAATACTTTGCAGTTTATTAGACTTTTTTTACTACTTGAATTTAAAATTATTTATTCTTAAAATATGTAATGAATGTAAAATATATTTGGAAAAAATTAAAGCTTTTTATAATATAATATTTTGTGTGTTTTCTTAGCAATATTATCAATGCAATTCAAACAAGTAATTTAAATATTTAAATGATTAAATATATTAATAAAGAATATTGATTAAATATAGAAATATATAAAAATTTATGAAATTAATATAAAATATATTTGGATAATAAAAAAAATAAATTGATATTATTTTATTACAGATTTGTTCTACATTATTTTGAATTAAATCCAGCTCCATTTGAATCTATAGAAGTTGATTATAGTCCATCTTCAAAGCGACGTAATAAACGAAAAATAATATCTTTTATAGAAGTATCTGATTATGATTTAGTAACTGCCTGTTATGATATTCTATGTAGCGCTTCAATGCATTTTAAGCATATATGGAATTGGTCTAAATTTTATAAATATTTAATTCATGAAGATGAAGGTGTTAGATGGTAAGTTATATAAAATTAAATAATAATAAATGATTAAGTTTAGACAATAAATGTTTATAAAAGAAATATATAAAAATAATTTTTAATTATTTTTCAGGATAGCAATAAATTGTATTGCTGTTGTGTTAGGAATGTCGGAATCTTGCTATTTATCTCATGCAAATGATTTTCTTTCAAAAATTCAACAATTCTCTATTGAAAGTAAAGAAATTAATAAAAATAATATAACATTTGAAGATACCAAAGAAATAGATCAAATTTTTGATGTACCTTCAGTAGTATCTATTGGAGGAATATTACTTCCAGTATTTAAAAAATCTAAATATAAAAATGATTTAAATCTAGTTCCTGTACCATCTACACGACAAAATTTGCAGAACTTAGCTTTTGCAATATCTTCAAATAATTGTGTATGTTTACAAGGTGCAGTTGGTTCAGGAAAGACTGCATTAGTAGAATTTTTAGCGCATGCTACTGGTCATGATGCACAAAATTTTGCAAAAGTACAATTAGGTGATCAAACAGATTCTAAAATGTTATTGGGAATGTACAGATGTACTGATATTCCTGGAGAATTTTTATGGCAACCAGGGATATTGACTGAAGCTGTGTTATCTGGCAAATGGCTACTTTTGGAAGATATTGATTGTGCTGCTTCAGATGTTCTTAGTGTAATTGGACAACTTGTAGAAACTAAAACATTATCAGTTCCTGGTTACAGAGATTTAATACACATAAAAAGTGGATTTCAATTGTTTGTTACAAGAAGATTGATTTCTGGAGGAACACAAAAATCACTTCAAATGCCAATACAGAAAGAATGGTCTTGTGTTAATGTAGAATCTTTATCAAAAAAGGAACTTGTGACAATAGTTCAAACTTTATTTCCAGTATTACATACAGTAGCTACAAGAATTGTTGATGTATTTTTATTATTTTCTGTTGGAAATCATGAAGATGAAATTGAAATGAATAATATGAAGAATTCTAGACAAATCTCTACTAGGGATTTGATTAAATGGTGTTCCAGAGCTATTATTGATTTTGATGTATCTTCACCTAGTTCGGCATTGAAGATCTTCCAAGATGCTTTAGATGTTTTTTGTTGTTCTATGTCAAATTCTGTACAACGTTTAAATTTGGCAATAGCAGTAGCACATAAATTAGGTATTGTAAAAACAAAAGCTGAATTTTTTGCTGAAATACATAAACCATCTGTAAATGTTCACGAAAAATGTCTCATTGTTGGTAGAGCAAAGTTAGAAATAAAAAAATCTGACAAGGTTAAATTAGAATTAAAAAATTCAAATTTTTCTTATACAAGACCATCTGTTTGTCTTTTAGAACGAATAGCTAGTTGTATTATTCAAAAAGAACCAGTTCTTTTAGTTGGAGAGACTGGAACAGGCAAAACAAGTTGTGTACAATATCTTGCGCAAATAACAGGCCATAAATTAATAGTAATAAATATGAATCAACAAAGTGAAAGTACAGATTTACTTGGTGGTTATAAACCAGTAGATCTTAAACTTTTGATCCTTCCAATTCGTGAAGAATTTGAAATTTTATTTCGATCATATTTTGCAATTGAACCAAATCTAAAATTTTTGAATCATATCGGATATTGCTTTGAAGAAAGAAAATGGAAGACGTTGACTACTTTAATGATTCATAGCACTAATGCTGCTTTAAGAAGATTGAGAGCATCTATGAAAAATCAAGATGAAGTAGAAATTTTAAAGAAATGGGAAAAAGTAGCACAGAAATTAGAAAAACTTCAATCTCAAGTGCAAAGTCAATATTCCTTAGCATTTTCTTTTGTAGAAGGTAGTTTAATAAAAGCATTAAAGAATGGAGATTGGGTTTTATTAGATGAAATTAATTTGGCTACTGCAGAAACATTGGAATGTCTTTCTGGTTTATTGGAAGGATCTTGTGGATCTCTATCTTTATTAGAGCGTGGAGATAAAGAACCTATAAAAAGACATAAAGATTTTGCAATATTTGCTTGTATGAATCCTGCAACAGATGTTGGTAAAAAAGATTTGCCAGTAGGATTGAGAAATAGATTTACAGAATTTTTTGTCGATGAACTTATAGAGAAGTCAGATTTACAACTTTTAATAAGTTCATATTTGAATGATTTAAATCTTCCATCAGGAAAAATTGAAAGCATTGTCAAATTTTACTTAAATGTCAGAAAAGAAGCAGAAACTACTCTTCTTGATGGAACTGGACATAAACCACATTATAGTTTGAGAACTTTGTGTCGTGCTTTAAATGTATCTGCACAAAATCCTTGTGCAAATGCACTGAGATCTTTATATGAGGCATTTTGTTTAAGTTTTCTAACACAATTAGATAGTAATTCTTATCCAATAGTACTAAAAATGATAGTTAAAGCTATTTTAGGGGATAAAAATGCGAGTGCTATTATTGGAATTCCAATTCCAAGACCACATGGTTTTGCTGATAATTTTATCTGCTTCGAAGGCTATTGGATTCCTAAAGGTGACCTTGATCCACAAATTCCAGAAAATTATATTCTTACAGAAACAGTTAAACAAAATTTAAAGGACTTAGTACGAGTAGTATCAATAGGTAAAATACCTGTACTATTGCAAGGTGACACTTCTGTTGGAAAAACTAGTTTGATTACATATTTGGCAAAAGCTTCTGGACATGTCTGTGTTAGAATTAATAATCATGAACACACTGATTTGCAAGAATATGTTGGTACTTATATAGCTGATTCTACTGGAAAATTGGTCTTTAAAGAAGGTATTCTAGTAGATGCTATGCGAAAAGGATATTGGATAATTTTGGATGAATTAAATTTAGCACCTAGCGATGTTTTAGAAGCTTTGAACCGAGTTCTTGATGATAATAGAGAATTGTTTATTCCTGAAACTCAACAAGTTGTAAAAGCACATAATAATTTCATGTTATTTGCTACTCAAAATCCTCCAGGTTTATATGGTGGAAGAAAAATGTTATCACGTGCATTTCGAAATAGATTTGTTGAGTTACATTTTGATGAAATTCCATCTAAAGAACTTCAAGTAATTTTGCATAAAAGATGTAAAATGCCAGAAACGTATTGTAAACAAGTAATTAATGTAATGACAGAACTTCAAGTACGAAGAAAGAGTACTGCAACTTTTGCTGGAAAAAAGGGTTTTATAACTCTTAGAGATTTGTTTCGTTGGGCTGAAAGATATCATCTCGCACCCGATACTGGAGGCACTTTGTATGATTGGAGTCAACATTTAGCTGATGAAGGATATTTAGTTCTTTCTTCAAAAGTTCGTCATCCTGATGAATGTTTAGAAATCATACAAGTGTTAAAGAAACATTTAAGAAGAGATGTTGATCCAGATACTCTATTTTCACTTTCCGAAAAAACTTCTACTGTTACTAAACCAATTTTGGAATCTCTTTTGTCAAAAAAGATCCCAGGATTTGAACATTTAGTTTGGACATATCAAATGCGTAAAATGGCAGTACTTCTTTCAAAAGCCTGTGATTTCAAAGAGCCAATTCTTCTAATTGGTGAAACAGGGGGTGGCAAAACTACAGTTTGTCAACTATTGTCTGTAATTAGACAACAGGAACTTAGTATTGTCAATTGTCATATGCATACAGAAGCTTCAGATTTTCTTGGAAGTCTTCGTCCAGTTAGAGAACATGGAGAAAATCAGAAATTGTTTGAATGGGTTGATGGTCCTTTAGTAAAATCTATGAAAACTGGAGGCTTTTTTTTGATAGATGAAATTTCTTTAGCGGATGATAGTGTACTTGAGCGATTGAACTCTCTTTTAGAACCTGAACGTAAACTTTTAATCGCTGAAAAACCATCGTCCGAAGAAAATGCAACAGTCACTGCTCATGAAAATTTTATTTTTGTTGGTACAATGAATCCTGGCGGTGATTACGGTAAAAAAGAACTTTCACCAGCGCTTAGAAATAGATTTACGGAAATTTGGTGCGAAGGTTGTGTTTCAATGGATGATCTTAAATGCATTATAGAACATAATTTACACAAAGAATTCAAGAAAAGTGTTTCTACAGCGATAATAGAATTTATTAAATGGTTACAATCTATGGAAATAGGAAAGAAACTTGTTGTTAGTGTCAGAGATATACTTACATGGGTCAATTTTGTTAATTGTTGTGAAAATTTAAAAATAGGAGATGCCTTCTTTCATGGTGCAGCTTTAAGTTATATTGATGGACTTGGATCTGGTTTGACCGCTGCAGAAAATTCAACAAAATTAAAAGATTTTAAGGATTCAGCATTGAAATTTATTGAACAGCAAATACAAAGTACATTAAAATCTGAATTAATATTAAATTATAAAGAATTTGATATTGAATACCATAAGGATAAATTTGGAATTCATCCATTTTACGTGAAGAAGGGAAATGAACAAATTCCAAGCAATATACAATTTGCTTTTTCAAGTCCAACAACAAAAATGAATACTCTAAAAGTTTTACGTGCTTTACAATTAAGGAAACCAATCTTATTGGAAGGTAGTCCAGGAGTTGGCAAAACTAGTTTAGTTTCTGCACTTGCTAGAGCATCTGGACATCATCTTCTTAGATTAAATCTAAGTGATCAAACAGATATTTCGGATTTGTTTGGAGCTGATTTACCAGTGGAAGGAGGGAAGCCTGGCGAATTTTCATGGAAGGATGGTCCCTTTTTAAGAGCTCTTAAAAATGGAGATTGGATTCTTTTGGATGAATTAAATCTTGCATCCCAGTCAGTTCTCGAAGGATTAAATGCCTGTCTTGATCATCGTGGTGAAATTTATATTCCAGAATTAGGAATGACTTTTATTGTAAAATCAGGAACTCGATTATTCGGCTGTCAAAATCCTCTTCGTCAAGGTGGAGCTAGAAGAGGTCTTCCAAAGTCATTTTTGAACCGTTTTACACAAGTAAGATGTGTTTTCAAATTTTGTTCAAAACAATAATACATTGTTTAGCACGCTATAAAGTTTTTTGTTAAAAATTTTAAAAAAATTTTTTTTAATCAGAATATATAAAAAAAATTTATAATTTATAATATATTCTGATCATTGTTTATATGTGTAATTAATTTCACGTTACGATCAGCTATTGGGATCAATAGTAACTAGGACTGCCACTAGGCGGCTTCTAATATTGCTATACATTCTCGCTGCTAAAAGCGGCACATTAATATATATGATATCGAGTTCACCGGTTTAATATTTATTAGATTTTATATGTTGGAATATATGTTTTATAATAATTATATGTGTTCCCTTTTTTCTGTAATAAGATTGTTTTTTAACAATCTTATTTTTTTTTTACTTTTTCCAACTGAAATCATATAATGAAAGTTAGTACTTTTTTCTTTTGTAATTCACCCCTATAATCCATTATATGATTTTTCTTAACGTTAATCAGGATGTAGAATAAGATAGAGAATGTAGAATAAAGATAATATTAAAAAAATTGAGTATAAAATTTAAAATAATAATAAAAATTATTAATGTAGATTAGAGATGAAGGATTTTTCAATTTTTTTTATTAATGTTTCGGTATATTTAAGAATATTGGTTATCGATCATTCTTCCTTCTTATTTGTATTAAAACTAAGTATTATTAATCTTATTATAAATGTTTTTAAGGCATGAAATTATAGGATTTTGTTTTTAATAATACGAAATATTTATATTAATAATTTATATAATTATATAATTATATATATTATTTATATAATTTATATAATTAAAAGCTAAAATATTAAAAACAAGCTTCAATAAATAGAAATAATAGATGTATGAAAATATAATTTATCAAAAATTTTTTCCATTTGAATTTTTATTTTTTGTTTAGGTTTTTATAGATGCTCTCGAACAGAGCGATTTAAAGTTCATTCTAAATGTTCAATTTCCGGAGTTATCAGAAAATTTACTCGATAAGATGATACAATTTAATGAAGAATTAAGCTCTCAGATTGGAATTACCTGGGGCCATTCAGGATCACCTTGGGAAATGAATCTTAGAGATGTTACCAGATGGTGTGAAATAATGATGGCAAATTTTAAATTAAGTAAAAAAAAAATATTCAATCCTGGAAATGGTGCTCAGTTAATTTATATAAATAGAATGAGAACAAATGAAGATAAAAAGAAGGTAACATATAATATATTTAATATATATTATTATTTGGTATATCAAATATTCTTCTTTATATAATTTTAAATAATTCATTTCTTGTATAATAGATGTATATTGCTGTAATTTTTTTTTTCTAATATTTTATGTATTTTTTTAATTTTAATAATCTAAAATTAATTTTAATTTTTTTTTTTTGTTAAATTATAGATAATCGACATATATAACAGGATATTTTCGCAGAATGATTGGCATTTGCCAGATCCAGAATTTCCAATTTACTTGACAAAAGACAAGATTTTTTTAGGAGATGAAGTATTGGATCGTAACGATTCTGCGATTTATGAAAACAATGATTTACTACTTCTAAGGGAGCAGAAAATTATTCTTAAAGGACTTGCACAATGTGTTAACATGAATTGGATGTCTATTCTCGTAAGTTTTTTAAAGTAATTTATCTTATTTCCTTGGTCAAATTATGATTTAAAAATTATTTTTATTTTATTCTTTTTTACGTATATTTTACGGATAACGATAATAATAATTTCAAATGAAAATTTTTGTAAAGATTTTGGAAAAAAGTGAGACCATAATAATTTTTAAATAAAAATAATATTTTACTGTTTTATTTTATTTATTTTTTT